CATCCATTGCTTCCGTCACAACTCCCATCGCTGCCTTGCTGTCGCTTTTCCCGAAATTTCTCCCCCCACATTTTGGCCTCTGCCACGGCGCGCTCCCTCTCTATATCCCTGTTCAGCTTCCTGACAGTTTCCCTAGGGGAATCTTCCTTCTCGGACCCGTCCAAGTCCCATTTCCTACCCGACCCACACCCAGACCCGTCCTCATTCTTCGACAGTCTCAAGGCCCTCTTATCATCCCCAGTGTTCTTGTTGGCAGTGCAGGGGTCATATGCCTGATTGGCCAAGTAGGAAAGGGCAGTGACGACATCTCCAATCAGAGGACGCGCTGCAGCCTGCTCTTGGATGCACATGGATGCCACAGCCAGAGCCTGGTAAAGGCCTCTCATTGGAAACTGACCTTGTAGCTTTGGATCAGCTAATTTCGCAAACTTCCGGCGATCATTGAAGAGTGGTCGTGCCTGCAGATATAGAAGATATATCATTGTGGTTTGGTATGAAATATACAAATAAGTCCCCTAAGAAGCCCGATTTTTTCACAAAATGTCAAAGGGATTGTTTGTGACTCTAAGAACCACCCTCAAGGGTCATTTGGTAATTCAAACTAACCCAATAAGATGATTACAGAAAGGGGGGGGGGGGTACCCATGTGACAAGGTTCTGCTGCCCTGGTGGTTGGGTGCTGTCAATGGCTTTACGTCCTGTGATGAGCTCTAAGAAGACAACGCCGAAACTATAGACATCAGATTTTACGGTGAGTTGTCCTGTCATGGCATATTCAGGAGCACAATAGCCGTAGGTCCCCATGACCCTTGTGGAGACGTGTGACTTATCTCCAGTAGGACCAAGCTTTGCTAGTCCGAAATCAGAGAGCTTTGGGGTAAACCCTTCGTCTAGCAAAATGTTTGATGACTTGAAGTCCCTATAAATTACCGGAGGATTAGCTTTATCATGAAGATGCTCCAAACCTTTGGCTGCGCCCGCGGCTATTTTCATCCTTTTGTTCCAATCCAATGGCTCTTTATCGGGTGGTAAATCTGAAAAGAAGCTCCCAAGTTACTAGTGACAATATTATCACATGGGAAAAAACACGGATGACAAATTGACTTGAGCAACATATAAATGACTAGATTTTGTTTTAAGGAGGGCATGCTACATATATCAAACCCCGTATATAATTTGGCTAGTCCGTGTATGCAAAATGACCTTTGTGGGCACAAAATCATGCATCTCAACCCTTGAAAAAAATGGTTACTCCATAGGTAGGATAGGAATAAAGGAACAAGCAAGGCACATGTTAGTAATGCAATGCTAAAAACTGTATGTGCTGAAGATATTAATACTCTGTTTGGGAGCACCATTTATAATTAGCATTAGAGTTATGAATAATTTTTTAAAGGTGCACGTTAGCATTTGAAAATCCTAAATCTAAAAGCTAGACTCTATAGCATTTTCAGGAATGCTAAAGCTAAAGTGCTAAACTACAACGCTAATGTCAACACACTATCATTATGTTGTGTTCGAGGAATTTGGGAAGGAAAAGAAGATAAGGATAAGAAATAAATTTTTCTTGTTTGCTTAGAAATGAAAAGAAAAAAAACGAGAGGAAAAAATAAACAAAAGGGCGGAGGGAAGATTTTTTCTTCCAATTTGGTGAGGAAAAGGAGAGAGACCTTTTTTCTTCTTAATTTTCCTCGAACCAAACACAGCGTAAGTACATAAGAAGAACAAACTGTATAGCTAGAATCAAGGGTATATGGTTTACCATGAAGGTGATCTTCCAATGACCCCAAGGGCATAAATTCATAGACAAGAAGCCTCTGGTCACCATCTGCACAGTATCCAATCAAGTTAACTAGATTAGGATGATGGAGAAGGCTGAGCATAAGAACTTCCACAAGGAACTCTCTATTCCCTTGAAGCCCATTCCTATCCAATTGCTTAACAGCCACAGCCTGCATTGATCATAAGGAATTAGACAACAATGGAAACCCATCCAAAAAAAAGACAAAGGTGGGCAGTGATGAAACCACAAGAAAGGAGATGACTTGCACCATTCTTGAAATTTTCAAGATTTGATTTAAAATGCTGCCTCATGCCAAACATAAATCTAAACTTTGAAAAGCTAAACTGAAATGAAAATCACCTGTCCATTGGCCAGTTTCCCTTTATATACACGTCCAAATCCACCTTCACCTATGAAAGATTCGGGCCTGAAGTTACTTGTAGCGGCTGCAAGCTCGCGAAAAGTGAATGTATGTGCCGCGATCTGACCACCGGGTAAATCATTTAAGACTGAAGGTTCTCTCTTCAGGCTAGCACTACTTCGTGATTTTAATCGGTCTGCTCCTGTAAGTGATATCATCCCAAAATCAGTCTAAATACAAAGGTTCTTCCAAAACCTCAATGGGATCCAATATAACAATCAAAATCACAAATAGTTCATCCTTATACAATATAAATGGTTTTTTCTTGATCTTGCCAATAGAAAACTAAATTGAGGGGATTGAGCTTAATACTAAAAGCACAGAAGAATGTAAGATTTGGGCAATAATCAGTTGCCCAGATTTCATCTATACCCAAATCAAAATTTCAATAAATTCAATCTCAACAAGATCTCATTTATCCGGTCATTACAGAGAATGGAAATTGCTAAATGTAAAACAAATTGATCAATTCCTATCATAGCTTCCATGGGTTTTATCCAAAGAACTGCAGCCAATAAATCACATAGAAGAGATCAACTCAAATCAAAAGTAAAAACCCCAGAACCTGAAGACAATCTGGACATGTTGGAAGGAACAGTGGGATGAACTTCAATGTGATCATCGCTCCCTTTGTTCAGCGTCTCAGCCTCCTTCGAATCAAAGCAAGGGAAGCAACCCATGCGTTCCTCCAACAAAGATTTGAAGTTTACAGAACCCCTTTCCTATAAAAAGAACTTCTACAAAAAGATTGATCAAATTGACTGAGACCCCAATCCAGTCGTCAACTTCTACATCTCAAGAATCCCAAGAAACACAAAGGGAACAACTCAATGCGTGTAAAGAATCTGGATCTGCGTGCACCAATCTGGGCATCTATGTTCCTTCCTGGTGATCAGAAACAAAAGAGACATTCAATAACAGCCCTCCACTACAAGTAGAAAGAGGAGCAGCAAGAAAGATTCTGGGAAAGGCTATTTTTAGCAATATCGCGAGAATATGAAGGCGAACATACCAAATGGATGAAAGATAGTGATTTTGAGACAGAGCTGTGCCCGGCTTTGTTGCGTCTTTCCAATCCAACACAAATGCCTGCCCCCACCCCCACCCCCGCCCCCAACCCCACCCCTACCCTAGCCCGCCAGGTCCTTGCTGCGAATCTTTGACATGCGAAATACGGTGTATGAACGCATATTAACTGTACAAGTATACGGCCACAAAGTCTACGTTTATACGTAGTTATTAGAAACCCCCGTTTAACCGCAGTCTACGACTTGTTTGACCAGCAGATATCGCTAATCTGGAAAAACTAATTTCAGCGATGATAATTACTCCGTAGTAGTAATTATAACTTCCCCAACTCTAATTACACAAGCTTGATTGGAAATTACATCACTCAATCTTTCTTGACTTGTACTAGTATTCTTTTTAAGGAAAAATCATAGTCATCCTGAGAAAATGAGTCTTTGTCCTAACAAATTAAATTATACGGAGTATAACCTATTTTATTTAAAATATCGATTAGTATTATAATAATACATAAAGAATTATAATATCATAATTAAATACGGAGTATCATATTAGCTACCCTAAAAATTTAATTTTTTAAATTTTTTATTAAAAAATATACAATGTTTATATTAAAAAATTAAAATCATTGGGTCCTCGAAAAATGGACCTTGACCCGTAGGGCAACTTGGTCCACCCTCGACCCAGCCTGGGAAAAAACGAAGGTGTTAACTATTAATAGTATGAGCAAGACTATCTCGTATGAACTTTGGTATGGTAGCCACTAACTTGAGTTTGAAAATTTTGAGCTATAGGGCAGTGGTAAGATTCTCTGAACCTAACGAAAAATTTTGGGTGAAAAAAGTGTTGATTGTAATTTCATTAGATATGCCAAGTATTTTGAGACATAGGTTTTATCTTGTAGAACCTAGTGACTGGGTATGTGTCAACACTGTCATAAAGTCAAAAGATGCAATCTTGAAGAGAACAAATTCCCACCGATACTTAAACCGAAAGATATTTTTCTAGGTAATTCTCTCATGCCAAACCATGATTCTTTTAGTAGTCACTTAGTTCTTACTCATGTTTCACATGTTCCGACAGAACATGGGAAAATCAAAATATTAGAGTTGCCAAATTCTTTTGCTCTGAGTTTTAATTATATTTAGTTGACGGTTCTAGGAATGAAATTTTATTTCAATATCAATAGGTTACAATATTGAGGAATATCTTAGAACATATAATGAAGTTATGGCTTCAAAGGACATGACTTTCTAAAAAGAAGTAAGTAGTTCAAGACAAGATGTACTCCTAGGAAAACACTAATTGGAAACTATATGTTTTACTTCATAGATGCAAACCTTAGATTGTAAAGAGATCTTCAAGAAGAAGAATTGAAGAAGAAAAAGAAGAAGGTAGACGATACCATTGATACATTTAAAGCCCGATTGGTTATCTAAGGCTTTAGACGAAAGGAAAGCATTAACTACTTCAATATATGCTCTTAATGCAAGAATATACACAATTCGGTTATTGGATGCCTTGATGGTTGTACATAACCTTGTTATTCACCAAATAAATGTGAAAAGCTACATTTTTGAATGTTGAATTGAAAGAGGAGATTTATATGAATCAACCACAAAGTTTCACTATACGTGTTAGTGAGCATGAAGTATGTAAGTTGGGAAAGTCGTTATATAGCTTAAAGCAGACACCTATACAACGTCATCAGAGGTTTGATGATATTGTGTTGTCACACTATCTCATGTTGAATCAAGATGACAAGTGTGTATATAACAAATTGGATCCCTCTCGTAAATGAGCTATAATTTGTCAATATCAAGTCAATAAGACTAAAAAATGTTGTCATCTAAATTCTCCATGAAGAATATACAGGGAGGCAGACGTAATCTTAAGTAGTAGGATTGATCGTGTGAACACTTGGATATCCATAACACAGTCTCATTACATTGGGAAGGTGTTGAAGAAATTCAGTTTTTAAAATTGTTCTATGGTAAGAACCCTTCTGGATCCTTCATAAAATTTTTACATAGCAAAAGTAAAGTTATATCATAGCTTGAATAGTAAATGGCTATTATCTATTTAATGTATGCCATTATTAGCACACGACCTGACATACATTTGATGATGGAAAGTTAAGTAGGCAAACTAGAGATCCCGATACACATTACTGGTAAGCTATGAGGATTGTATTCAAATTCAAATAATAGAGGAGAACTATGGACTCTGGTTTCGTATACTCTCCTAATCCTCTTGTTGTAGAGGGATTTGTAACACTTTTACCCCTGTAACTCGAATACATGTACTAGCGGACCAAGTTGTCACTCACTTGGCATCCAAACAAAATAATTTCAAAAATATTTCTAAAATAATTCATTCAAAAACATTATCTAATTATATATTGAAGTAATATAAAACGATACGGAAGCTTAAGTACTTAATTCAAACACGACCTTATATTCTTTCCCAAAAATATAATGAATTCAAACTGAATTATTAAAAAGCTGTTGCTTCTAAAACCCAATTCAAACCCAATTAAAAAACCTACACTCTATTAAAAAAAAGTTACGGTCTTTGTGCGCCGCGAGTTACACTGCCAACTATTCTGTGAAAACGACACGTGTGCGTGACAACTGCCAGACCATCGATTTCTCAGCTACAATAGTCACAACCAGAAATGGATGTGGAATATCTTTTGCTGAAGACAGCCGCTACAATCTTTTTAGCTATTGCTAGCTCGTAACCCAGACGGCGGTGAGAAGACATAAGTTGCGCGGCAATGACACGTGATTGCACGGTGCTCTGTCCTCTAGCTGCACTATAGATTTCCCTAAGATCTGGAAACAAATCTAAAAACAAAAATGATCAAAAAATATCTCTAGTAAGGGCATCATTGTCGAAAATTGGATCTAGGTAAGGACATCAGTGTCATAAAACAGCTCTAGCAAGTGCAACGCCGATCGAAAACAGATTTGGGTGTGGGCAACAACTTCATTTGAATAAGAAAACACATCGGAAATCATTCTTGCCTGCATGGAATCGATATAAGGTGGGGCGACAAAGATTAGATTTAGGATCGGGAAGAGAGACACAATGAATGAGTTGATTTAGAGAGGAAGAGAAAAAGAGTGTCATAAATGTGAAGAGTTGATTGAGATGAAGAGGAAGAGAGTGGCATAAATATGGGGAGGTTGGATAGTAAAAGATGAAAGAGTATAAAAATCTTTTTTTTACCTTTTTAAAAGAAGTTGGAAGATAGTCTTAAGACGTAGAGAGTAGTTATTTATAAACTTCGTCCTTAGCCTGAGTGGTACGGAGCTCACACTCTAAGATTTAAAAGAAAATTCACCAAAGTCAAAAACATTAACTGATCGTTAGGGGTGGGTTTGGTTTTGACGGTTTGTTTTCACCTAAAACCAAAGACAAAATGGAAGGTAAGTTGGCAGTTTGGTTCGGTTCGATTTTGCATAAAAAATATATAAACCGTTGGTTATTCGGTTCGGTTTTGTGCAGTTTTTATTTCGGTTTTTAAAAATAAAATTTATAAGCATTAAAAAGTTGTAAAAACACTAATTCGATGAAGCAATAACAATATGTAGGCTTGAGCTCGGTTTTTTCGGGTTTGATATTTACATAAAACCAAAATCAAACGGAAGGTTGGAGTTCGGTTCGATTCAATTTTACATAAAAAAATATGTGTCGAGTGCCCACCAAGCATCTAAGAACTTCCAAATACTCCGAAAGCTTTTGTATGTAAATATGAATTACAGATAATTTGCATTTTTGGCATAACACTTTCATTTCTATTATAGCATCAAAGTTTTCTCATGTAAAAATATAAATAACTCGTATCAATTGTTAATGTTAATATAATTCCGTATCAGGATTAGTTATTGATGTTTATATTTCTAAGCTTTTTTAAAGTTTATAATATGGTTTATAAAGTGTAATAGTTAAGAAAAATAAATTTAATCGATAAATCAAATATTTACATTTATATTTTTATGATTTTTCTCATATCACGTATATTCATATAAATAAAGCAGAGTACCTAAGGAAGTTCGGTTTATTCGGTTCGGTTCGATTTTACGAGGTGAAAACAAAAAACAAAAACCAAACAATAACGGTTCGATTTGGTTTTTTTACATTCAGTTCCGGTTTTGGTTTTTTTGGTTCGAGTGTTTTTCAAGCTCGTTTCGATCAGTTTCGGTTCGTTTTGCGGTTTTCAGTTTTCTAAACCCAACCCTACTGATCGTGCATTATTGAGTTGAGAAAGTATATGGCTCTGTTTGGGATCAACATTAGAGATCAGCTTTAGAATTTTGTAAAGATTATCTGACGGTAGTCTTTAACGTTAGCATTTTCAGAATTAATCTACACCATTAAATTTTTATCCAAAACATTAACACTAATTGAAAACATTATCTCCAAACAAGAGCTTAGGACATTTGAATTGAGTAATTTGGCCGTTCGGGTCAGCTGGTCACCGATCAGGCCATCACCGCTATTTTCCAGGCCAAATAGCTTTCGTGCCCCCTCTGGTTTGGAAAATTGGCAGCAATACCCCCTCTGTTTTCAAAACTTATTTATAAAGTCCCCGTAGTTTCAAAACGTTGCATCCACACCCCCTCCAATCATTTTCCAGCCATTTTCCGGCGAAGAGGGGGCATTGGCGCATAATTTCTAAACCATAAGGGACATTCGTGCTCATTTCTTATATTCGTTTATTATTCTTCCCTTTTTTAAAAATACTAGTTTTTCAACCCGTGCCACGCACGGGATCGAAATTTTTTTGCCAATTCTTTAATTTTTTCGTTGTCATATTTTTTCGGAATCAAGTAAATATATTTCTCTCACATGGTTTTTAATACTATAGGCAAAAGTACAAAAATAAAATAAATAATATTTGAGGAATTGAATGTGTACTCTACAAAATTTGTTTTAATTCTGAATTTTCTGAAAAACTTTAGAGTATACAATATTTTTTGGGTGTGATTGAAAGGGTTTTCATTATCATTTCGAA